CCCAGGCTTTTTCCCTATTTCACCTTTTCTTAACAAAATTAATGCTCTTTACAAACAAATATGCACAACAGATTCTCAAATCGTCGAATACATCAACACAGATATAATGACAATATTCTCCACACGTGACAGACGTTATTTTTCAGTTAAAAACTTGAAAAATGCATTGAAACCAAGTTGCATCTTTGTAGTGAGTAAAAATGGTTATATTTTGTTTCTATATGATAAATATATATATATATATATATATATATATATATATATATATATATAAGAAAGTATTGAAAACTAATCATCCCCAATCAAATGCTCTGGGCAGGTCACTTGGTGCGCATGGATGACACAAGGTTGGCGAAACATGTCTTTTTTGGTGAACTATCTGCAGGCAAAGGTCCCAGACACAAACCCAGAAAGAGCTTTAAAGATTGCATCAAAACCAATCTCAAAGCTCTTTGGGATATCAGTTGGTACGTGGGAACTGGAAGCTGAATGTCGACCTTCATGGAAAACGACCGTTCAACAAGGTTGTAAGAAGTTTGAAAAGGACAAGGTGGAACATGCTAAGGTCAAGCACAATCTTTGTAAAGGTAATAATGAAGCGCTACCTTCCAGAGTAGCGTTACAATATGTATGTAGTTTATGTGGTAATTTTGCTCTTTCTAAGGCAGGTCTTCAAAGTCACCTTGGGTCTCATCAGGCTCGATCCATTGAAAGAAGCTGGCAATCAATCCTTATGCCTGAGGATGGCTGTAAGCACAGCTGAAAGTACTAACAAAATAAAAAAAGACCTTATACAACTTGAAGTTATTAAAAACAAGGATCATTGCATTCATCGAGAGGTTCGTGGGTTAATGTAACTATAATAAATTTGTTTGAGAGGATGTTTTTCGCCATTTATATCATTAAACTTACTAATCTATTTTCTGTATGAATGATACATGTAATATAAATTGAACTGCACCACATATTTGATATATATATATATATATATATGTGTGTGTGTGTGTGTGTGTGAAAAATTACAGTTAAGAGTTAACCAGTAGAAAAGACAATATTTATAAATATAAATGACAATAGGAAAACTCACTCTTTAGAATTTTCCTTCTGAGTGAGCTATTTTCTTTTTTGTGAGTGTAGCATTTTTAAAATCTAAATTGTGGTTGAATTTATTTCTATGTATGACTAGTGCATTAACTAAGTTGTTTTTTGTGAGGTCTCTTTTGTGCTCATAAATGCGTTTTTTCAAACTTCTACTTGTTTCTCCAATATATTGGGAGGGACAGTTTTGTCAATTTATTTTATAAATACCTGCTTCAGAAATATTATTGCTATTAGTGTTTGAAGATCTTAGAAGGAAGATCTTAGAAGATCTCAGAAGGAAAATTCTAGAAAGTGCTGCCATAGAATATTACCCAAATATAAATCTACTCCCAGGCTTTTTCGCTATTTCACCTTTCTTAACAAAATTACTGCTCTCCCAAACAAACGTATACAACAATATCGTAAAATCAAAAGAAAATGGTTGAATCCGTCAACACAGCTATAATGACAATATTCTCCACACGTGACAATAACTGACATTATTTTCAGTTAACATTATGAAAATAGCGTTCTTTACATTCTTCCAGTTGCTAAGAACATCCCGTTTTTTGTTATTATTAGTTACTTTCTTTAATTAAATTCAATTCGTTTTTTGCTTTGAGAAAGTCCACATTGGAAGAAACGCGTCAGCAATAACTACAGTTTTCCTATTGTCATATATATATATATACATATATATATATATATATGTGTGTGTGTGTATGTATTGTGTGTGTGTATATGTGTGTGTGTGTGTGTTTGTGTGTGAGCCTATAATCTGGCGTGGTCAGCATTTTGAACAAGACCAGTCTACTCAAACCCTCGTTCATGATGATTGCCGATTTTAGGTATTATGATTGTCTCGAGAATATTCCTCTGTCCATTTTCCCTCACAAGGTCTTGTCTCAGCCCGTTTTATGGTTTTCAGAAACTTCCCAATAAAGTTTCATGCTGGGATTTTTACTCAAGCAAAAGGAACAAAAATTCACTTCCTTCAACCATCGGCCATTTTTGCCCTTATCTCAACTCTCCAAATTATTTTCAGCTTTGCTGTAGCCAGGTATTGAACTCTCAACTCTCTGGATCAAATCAGGGGATTACTTCATCCAAAGCTAACATATAGTACTCCGCTTAGCTATTGGAATTCTTCGTTATCCCAAATAAGTCTTCGCATCTCAGAGTCACTCTTTCCTTCCTCTCTGAAATCATTTCCCATATATTTAAATTCCCGCACTTGTTTGATTTTGATACTTCCAATTTGCAATTCTCATGTTGGGCTCATCTTTTTTGCTAACAACCTTGCATTCTGTCTTCTTGCAGTTGATATTTAATCCTTTCTTCTCGCTTTTGTTGAATACCATCTGTAGGAGTTTAAAATGGGAACGTCTACTCAAACCTGAGTATCTACTAGAAATATACGAACAGGGAATCGTTACTCAAGCAAAAGGAACAAAAATTCACCTCATTTAACAATCGGCCATATTGAGATTCGCACACCGGCTTCATGATCGGAACTCTGCTCGATATATATATATATATATATATATATATATATATATATATATATATATGAAGAAATGTAATCTTAAGGTGTGCTATATTTATGGGATAAAGTGCTCAATATCAGAGATAGAGCTTGTGTAAAAGTGAACACTGAAGTCAACACTTAGAGGCGACAGGATTTTTTTATGTTAGACGCAATCGTCAGGCTACGAGTACTGTTATTTTTCTCGGCTATTTATATATACAGTTCACTGGTGCATTGTGGGTAGTCTATTTTGGCGGTTATTTTACCGGAAGTCCTTTATTTGTTTATTTATTTGGGTTAAATTATTTTGCCTGTCATTATTTTTTTTTATTTTATATTTTTATTTCTTATATTATATATTTTTAAAAAATGTTAATCGGTGTTTTTATTAACGTAGAAATAACGTTAAATTTGATTATATCGCTTATTTAATAGTTTTGTTTTGATTTGGGAAAATAATTAAAGCTATTTATTCAATTTTGGGGTTGATTGTTGTAGTTTATTCTAACTGTTATTTTGGCGGGATCAGCTTTTTATATGTTTATTGCTTCATATATTTATTTGGATTGATCATCTTTATTTGTAGCGGTTAATTTTATACACACACACACACACACACACATATATATATATATATATAAGAAATGGACAAAGTCCGACAATTTATTTATTAAAGACATTTTTATGTTTAACGTTCTTTTTTATAGATTCGAACCTGCATCCTAAGGAACCGTTTTACGCTGACGTGCCTTACCAATCAAATGTTCTATTTTCTATAAAATTTCTCGGAAAGGCCGGTAAATTTAAATACTGTTATAAAAACAGAGCATTTACCTTGGTTTGAAAATGTCTTTAGAAATATATATATATATATATATATATATATATATATATATATATATATATATACCCTTGTTTAAATTAATTGAAAATATTCCTTTTCTTTTTAGACCCACAGAAGATTCGAACCTTCGGTCATTTGCAGTGGTTTGCAGTAATATGAATCTATTTTCGGGGCGTATGCACCTTGAATTTGTTTGGGTTTGATATCCGGATTGCATCAGTTTTCTATCATATTGTTTTGACTGTCGATTAGTTGTCCTACTGCTATTGTCTGCGATAGACAAAAAAACTTACAAAAATTGTCGCTGCACGAACAAAAGGTCAAACCTGACCAGTGAACAAATCAAAGTTATAAACTTCAAAAATTCTTCCATAATTTAATACTGTTTAATGGACATAAAAGAACTTAACATATGCATTTGTTTCAATAAAATAGTAAATCTATAATTATTCAATTTTGTTTAAAATTTGCACATATAAATATATATTTAATAATATATATATATATATCTATAGACATTTTTCTCTCTCTATATATATATTTTTTATATATGATATTAAATGGATTTCCGACAATTTATTTATTTATTAAAGACATTTTTATGTTTAACGTTGTTATTTATAGATAATAAATAACATTTATTTAACAAAATTTACGTCGGCCTGAATGTCTGAAGAAATTTTCAGCAGTAAATTCGACCTTGTTAAATGTCTTTGTGGCCCATTTAGGCACGTCCAGCCTGGTTTATTATAAAAACGAATATTTTCTATGAAAATTTCTTAAATATTTTAATCTTTATAAAACAGAGCATTTGCTTAAATACATGTATCTATAAATAACAACGTTAAACATAAAAATGTTTTAAAAATAATTGTCGGACTTTTTTTTTTTTATATTTTTTTTTAATGTTAAGAATAAATAAACATATTTAACAACAATATCATTTTTCAGGTCCAAATGTCTATAATTGCCTGAAAACAGCATTTACATCTATAAAATAATGTATAAACATAAAAAATGTTTTAAAATAATTGTCGGACTTTGTCTATTTCATAATGTGAATAAATATATCCTAACAACAATTCATTGGTCCACTATAATTGCCCGATACAAGACCAGGACCGGTGCCTACCACCCTGAATTCACCCACGGTAAGAGAAAGCTACCACCCTGAATCCACCCACGGTAAGAGAAAGACTGAGTGTGCCACTCAGGCAGTACTTTGTGACCTTTTGCTATCTCATCAAAATCTAAAAGTACCAGAAATGTGGTTCTACAGAATGATACTGAGAAAGAAAGGTTTGGAAAATTTAACACTCACGGGGCATATTGAAGGAAAGAGGGGGATAGGGGGAAAGAGCCGATCTTACCTGATAAGCTTGTGTGATTGAGTGGCCGAGCGAAGGGCAGATGCCTTAGCAAAGGGAGAATAAATGCATACGAGGTAGGAAGTTGTGGAGAGACATTATCGCCTATATCCTGAATAACAACAGCAAGAGCAATATGCTCATCCTCACACCCGGTCTGGGTTAGGGTTTACCTGGGACATTACATCCTAATGTGCGATATATGGCGATATGATTCAGCAAAAGAGACGCATGAGAAAGAAAGAAGAAAGAAAGAAAATGAGGGGCAGTTAAAAAGAAAGAAAGAAAGAAAGAGAAAGAGAGAAAAAGAAAAATGTGGAAAAAGTAGACAGAAAGAAAGATTCTGTGAAAAGAAAGAAAGAAAGAAAGAAGGAAAGAAAAATGAAAGAAAAAGAAAGTAAGAAAATGAAACAAATAATTTTATCTGTTTCTGTCCAAAAGTCGAATACAAGCATAGAAAGAAAAGAAAGAAAGAAAGAAAGAAAGAAAGAACTGAAAGGAACAAACAAACAAGAAAAAGAAAGAAAGAAAGAAAGAAAGAAAGAAAGAAAGAAAGAAAAATCGTGGAAAGAAAATTAGAGGGAAAAGAAAGAAAAAATGGTTCAAAACGAAAAGAAAGAAAGAAAGAATGAAAAGAAAGGAAGAAAGTAGAAAGAAAGAAAAATGTGAATAAGAAAGAGAAAAAGCATAAAATAGCAGCGAAAAATGAAGTAAAAAAAAACAAATTGTTATCATTTGAATGCGCAGTACTGTTGAAATACATTTATAATCTTACCTGGACCCCGTCTTTTTGAAATGCTCCGCGGTAATATTTTCTTGCTGCTGGAGAATTCCGAAACGTGCGAAAAGATTGAGCAATAAACTAGAAGTAAGAATTGGGAACGACTTACCTAATTTGAAAACTTAATCGACATCCAATGGGGTTCACACACCGAGTGAAGAAACGCCGATAGACAAATATGTCAGATTCATGGGAAGAAAACGTTATTTCGCTTAGTTTAGCCTGCTACGCACCAAACAAAAGATAATAGCCTTAAAGATGGTCAACTGAATTACGATTGGCGAAATAATACGAATATGAATGAAAAGAATCAAGAAATTGGAATAAATAAAGAGGAACAGTATAAGATAATTGTAACCCGAGTGACAGATTAATAGATAGATACATACATACGTAACAAACCGTGATAGATAGATAGATAGATAGATATGAAGAGAGTCAAATAAATATGAATTGACTAAAAAGGAAAGAAAGATAGATAGATAGATAGATAGATAGATAGATAGATAGATACATCGAGAACAAAATAAGATAGATAGATAGATAGATAGATAGATAGATAGATAGATAGATAGATAGATAGATAGATAGATAACAAACTGCGGTAGATACAATGAGGACAAAATGAGATGGCTAAATAGATAAAAAAAAATGAGATAGATGAATTAAAAAGAAAATTACATAGATAGATAGATAGATAAGAAAATGAGATCGAGAGAGAGAGAAAAAGGCGGAAAGAGAGAGAGAGAGAGAAAAATGTGGACGAGTGATGGTGATATAGAGTGATAGAGACAAAAAAGACTGAACAAGATTTTGATTGATAGATACGATATTAAAGCGAAAGGTGATTGTAAGAACGAAAGCATATAGGAATCAAGATGAAAGGCTTCAAGAACAAAGAACGATATTCTAAAGCATATCAAAGACAGAAAGGAAAGAGGAATGAAGGGAATGTCTTCCTGTGATGTAGACTTCAAGAACGACGACATGGATATAGAACAGGTGTTTGTTATTTAGGCTTTCCTTTCCTTCTTTTCGCCTTTGCTTGAGTCTTACACGACTTCATTTCTACTACTTTGGCATCATTTAATACCATTTGCCATTTCTCGCTGAGAGATAGATGGACATAGGCAGACAGACAGACACAAAGAGACAGACAGATAGATAGATAGATAGATAGATAGATAGATAGATAGATAATCAACGGAGATAGATAGATAGATAGATAGATAGATAGATAGATAGATAGATAGATAGATAGATAGATAGATAGATACGAAGTGACATGAAATGACATAAACAGACATATAGATCGATAGATATAAAGAGACATAAAGACATGAAAAGACATAGATAGATAGATAGATAGATAGATAGATAGATAGATAGATAGATAGATAGATAGATATGAATAAACTGGCATAGATAGATAGATAGATAGATAGATAGATAGTAAAAAAGAAAATGAGAAGGAAAAATAGATATTATCTAGATAAGTATGTACAAGATAGAAAGAAAGAAAGAAAGAAAGTAAATAAGTAAGAGGAAAAGAAAAATAGATATTAACTAATTATATAGATATATAGAAGTTATATATATAGAGAGAGAGACAGAGATAGAGAGACAGACAGAAAGAGAGAGATAGTAAAAAAGAAAGTGAGAAAGAAAAATAAATATTAATTATCTAGATAGATTTGTACAAGATAGAAAGATATAAAGTAAAGAAGCAAGAGAAAAATAGAAACAGATATTAACTAATTATCTATCTATCTATCTATCTATCTATCTATATATATATATATATATATATATATATATATATATATATATTTATATTTAAAGAGGACAGATAGAAAATAAGAATGTACGTAAGAAAAGAAAAATAGGTATGACCTAATTATCTTGATAGATATGTACAAAATAAAAGATATATATATGAATAGATTGAGATAGGTAAAATATAAAGATCGAAAGGCAGAGACATAGAGACAGAGTGAGATAGATAGATAGATAGATAGATAGATAGATAGATAGATAGATAGATAGATAGAACTGTGTATATATGTGAGTTTGGGTTAATAATTCAACATTTTGATACAGAATTTGCGCAGATTTCTTGTTCCTATATTCAATGAATAAAAATTGTATGTCTTTACTTATTTACAATTAGGTTAGGTTAGATTTAAAAATAAATATTTATTTTATGGAATACACCTATTTTCATAGACTACTACTGTATATTTTTGCATAAAATTTTACACACTTACGCATGAACACACACACGCACTTAGACACCTATATATATATATATATATATGTGTGTGTGTGTGTGTGTGTGTATGTGTGTGTGTGTGTTTGTGTCAAATTGGGAAAGTCATTCTTTTCACACAAATTGATCTTGATATATAAAAAATTATATACCGTTTTTCCACATATATATATTTTAAGACATTTTTTATGATTATACGTTCTTCTTATAGATACAAATATTTAAGTAAATGCTCTGTTTATAATAAACAGTATTAAACAGCATTTACCAACCTGAATGTCCGAGAAATTGTCATAGAAAATATTCGTCCTCCGACAGAAACCGAACCTGTATCTTATACGGAACCGTCATATAGCCTGACGTGCTTTACCGATAGAGCTACAGAGGAGCCTCGGTTAGCAAGGTCGATTTTACTGTATTTAACTTACAATTCTCCACGATTTTCTCTCTTACATGCATATCTGCTCGATGCGTATTAGTATTAGGTGGTTGCAATGTAGAACTGAACCCTTTATTATCTGTCTATATATCTGAGATGAAGTATTATGTACACTATTTATATTATTCGGGCTATTGTCCTGATCTTTGTCGCCATAATTATTACGTTTCGGCCGTTGTACGCTCCGGCCTTCTTTAGGTGGTTGGAATGAAGAACTGAACCCTTTATTTCGCTCACTGGGGTAATAATGTAAATAGTGTACATAATGCCTCACCACGGAAATATAGACAGATACTTCATATGTCCGAAACTCCACCCACTTCGTGGAAATAATCAAAGATGCTCCCATCCTATCCAACTAGATGGTGAGCTTAGACGTGGTGAGTTTGTTCACCAAGCTACACACGGAGGAGGCACTCTCAGTAGTCAGAGACCGATTGACCTCTGATTCATCCCTAGAAGAACGAACCAGTATTCCAACAGATAATCAGATGGAGATGTTGACTTTCTGTACACAAACAACTCAATTCGGCATGATGAGGGCTTGGCAATGGGTTCGCCATTATCACCAGCAATACATGGAATACTTTGAGGAAATGGCATTAAATGGAATCTATATCTCTAAAGCCAATTATATGGTTAAGGTACGTAGATGACACCTTCATACTCTGGCCACACCAGGAAGATGTTCAGGTTCTACTGGACCATGTGAACTCAATAAGACCTTCGATACAGTTCACGATAGAAAAGAAGAGTAACAACACACTACCATTCCTGGATGTTCTAACATCTCGAACAGAGCATGGGTTCAAGTCATCCGTATACCTTAAACCGACATTCGCCGGAGAGTACCTCAATTTCAACTCACACCATCCATACAACGTAAAGAAAGGGATTGTCCGCTGCTTACAACACCGAGCAAAAGTCATAAGTGGCGACCCAGAAACGTTAGATAAAGAATTGGTCAGTATAAGTAGTACCCTACAACGTAACAACTACCCTGGGTACATGGCAGCAACCCCCAAAAACTGGGACAGGCGGGTACAAGAGGAGGAGGAGGACAACAACACTCAGGAAACAGTCTGCCTGCCTTATGTGAAGGGGTTATCAGAGAAAATACAAAGGATCTGCGGTCCATATAATATCAGGACAACCTTCAAAAGCTTGACAACACTTCGCAGATATCTCTCCCGATTAAGACCTTCCATAGAGGAGAACATGACTAAAGACTGTGTGTATGCTATCCTCTGAGGCTACGGAAAGAAATATAAAGGGGAGACAGGCATTCCCCTTAAGGTAAGGCTTCAAGAACACCATAAAGATGTAACATGAGGAGAAGTGGAAAAATCAGGCGTGGCTGACCACATATGGAGAGACAAGGGAGATCACCGCTCTCTGTGGGATCAGGTTGAGATCATAGACAAGGAACACCATTGAAAAATTCGTAAACTTAAGGAATCAGCACATATGCTAGGCCACAAAAATTTCCTGAGTCGACCAAGCATAGAAATGAATACAATATGGGAACCAGTAATAAGGAGTACAAGAGAAAAACGATGATAACAACAAAAATTGCAATATGAGCTCTGGTAAAAATATGCAATGATAACAGCCAAAATTGCAATATGAGCACTGGGAAAATGGTTGCTGAAGACATTAGGTTTATAATACCCAGAAATTCATACACAGATATCCTCAAGGACAGATGGCGTTAGTCGGAGCCAGTGACAGGACCCAACAATTGTGAGTTCAATACCCGGTTAAGGCAGTGGGGAAATGAAGAGGGGAATTAACAGGAGATAACTGACATCCATTAAATATGTCACGTGGAACTAGAACACTCTACCCCAGTGAGCGAAATAAAGGGTTCAGTTCTACATTCTAACCAGCTGAAGAAGGCCGGAGAGTACCACGGCCGAAACAACGCATGACATACCTAGCGGGCTTAAGCAAGTGGAGGACAGAACGTGAACTGGGGAGGTAGCAGAGGGAAAGAACTTGTTGAGAGCTGCAAGGGATAGGGAGGAAATGGAGAGCCATGATCGCCTACGTCCTGAAAAGACGTGACTCATAAAAAAAGAACTTGGCTCTGGCGGGGAGCTTGAAATTAATATTAGCTCAAGCGCACGAGGTCATCGCCACTCAGGCGATATCCCTTCTTCAGGACAAGGCTGGAGGTGATTACACAGTCCCTGAATGGAAGGGCTGAGGAAGTTTGGACAATCTTTGAACGGCTTCTCACATGAAGCCCCTTCCTTTTATCACATTCTGTTACAACGTGACCCCGCAGATACCTACTCTGTTCTCGCCAACTTTCCCTCCTGTCATAGTCTGGAAAACCTTGCTTCCAAAGCCAATATGCTGACTTTCTTTTCATATAAGGGCCTTTACTCGCTTTTAATTTAATTCCTCTTCCTCTGTGGATTGCCGTGTTGGACGACTGAATTCAATCTGAATTCAATGCCGTCAAGAATTCCGTCTTCTGGTAGGCAAGGATTCAGGTAAAGGACCAGCCTAAACACGATCAAAAGTCCGGCGGATAGGCGGTCAGGGCAATGTTCTACGTACGGGAATAAGCCGGTAGCCCGATACAAGATGTCATCCTAAACCTGCCACAGCGGATGGTGCCAGCTGAAGTGTGTGTGCCATGGAGTTGCGAACTCTGGACGACCTTAACTCGCAGCCAAGGCTTTCGTAGAACAATCCACGGAAGAAACATCATCATTCGAAAATACCAGAAGGCAAACAGAAGAGCCGAAGAGAACCCAAAGCAAAGCCAGAGTCCTCAATTACCTTGAACCCTCCAAACCTACTATGCAGTGGCTGTGGATGTCCCTTCAGATCCAACATACGACTCATTTTACAGAGAAGGGAATGTCGAAGAGCACACCAATATTGTCAACGAATTCCACCAAGATCAACAATTTTTATTCCTCAAATATAGGTAGTTGTTGTTATTGTTATAATGAACCAAATTTTATGATTATAAAATTGTTTTATATGTTTGTGTATAATCCTGCTGTACAACAGACATTATATATATATATATATATATATATATATATATATATATATATATATATATATAAATATATATGACGGATTTTATCTAATGAGATATTAACTTATGATTGACAGATGAAACAGCAGTATCCTTAAGGTTTTGGTTTGGTTTGTTTTTGTTTTACGGCATATCAACACCTCAATGGGTTATTTAATGCCGACAAGATTTTTATTTGCTGGTTATATTTTTTATCTATCTATCTATCTATCTATCTATCTATCTATCTATCTATCTCAGTATATATCGGTTTGGTTTGTTTTGTTTTATGGCATATCAACACCTCAATGGGTTATTTAATGCCGACAAGATTTTTATTTGCTGGTTATATTTTTTATCTATCTATCTATCTATCTATCTATCTATCTATCTATCTCAGTTTGGTTTGTTTTTTTGTTTTATGGCATATCAACCTCAATGGGTTATTTAATGCCGACAAGATTTTTATTTGCTGGTTATATTTTTTATCTATCTATCTATCTATCTATCTATCTATCTATCTATCTATCTATCTATCTCAGTATATATCGGTTTGGTTTGTTTTGTTTTATGGCATATCAACACCTCAATGGGTTATTTAATGCTGACAAGATTTTTATTTGCTGGTTATATTTTTTATCTATCTATCTATCTATCTCAGTATATATTTGTTTGGTTTGTTTTGTTTTACGGCATATCAACACCTCAATGGGTTATTTAATGTCGACAAGATTTTTATTTGCTGGTTATATTTTTTATCTATCTATCTATCTATCTATCTATCTATCTATCTATCTATCTATATATCGGTTTGGTTTGTTTTTTGTTTTATGGCATATCAACACCTCAATGGGTTATTTAATGCCGACAAGATTTTTATTTGCTGGTTATATTTTTTATCTATCTATCTATCTATCTATCTATCTATCTATCTATCTCAGTATATATCGGTTTGGTTTGTTTTGTTTTATGGCATATCAACACCTCAATGGGTTATTTAATGCTGACAAGATTTTTATTTGCTGGTTATATTTTTTATCTATCTATCTATCTATCTCAGTATATATTTGTTTGGTTTGTTTTGTTTTACGGCATATCAACACCTCAATGGGTTATTTAATGTCGACAAGATTTTTATTTGCTGGTTATATTTTTTATCTATCTATCTATCTATCTATCTATCTATCTCAGTATATATTGGTTTGGTTTGGTTTGTTTTACAGCATATCAACCTCAATGGGTTATTTCATGCCGACAAGATTTTTATTGCTGTAATATTTTCAAATGTATTGCTGGTAAATTTGTTTTCCTTCAGAAATTTATTTCTGGTAATATTTTTTCTTCAAAAATGTATGACTTGTAATTTTTTTTTTCAAAAAAAAGTATAGATGGTAATGTCTTTTTTCAAAAATGCATTGCTAGTAATAATTTTTTCTTCAAAAAGTTATTGCTGGTAATAAGTTTTTTTACAAAGTATTTCTGTTATTAAAACATATTTTTACACTTTCATAGTGTTTTGATCCCAGTTTGGATGTTAACAATTTGCCCATAGGTGGGATCCAAACAGGTGCTACCACCACGGGTCAGGGTGGACCTGGGAACACAAGCAAGCAATTAAGAAGTGGTTCCACGCTCCTGAAAACCTCGTTATCAGAGGCCTTACTGTTGGACGTAGTTTATCGTCTTACCCAGGATGCGGATGTAGTTTATCTTCATACCCAGGACGGCTTAAGGTTTTGATATTTTACTAACTCCGCTAACAGTTTGGAAACGGCATACTGTACTGCTTGGTATTCGCACCGGAATCTCCAATACAAACATTTCAGAGTGTTTGGGGATCATTCTGAGGAAGGACAGTGCAGAGGATCCGGAAAGAGTTTGTTGAGTCTGATGGTGATTACGAAGGTACGGCAGCTCTGAAAACTCACTCTGATCGTTCTGATAAGAAAAGAACCCCCGAATGTGTTGGTGACGGCCTCAGACTGAACACGATGCCTACATCAAGTGACTTGAGGAGGTAGTGCTGCCCTGAGACAAGAGGTGACCGCTGGAAGACCCTATATCTGGCAACAAAACTCTACACCATGCCACACAAACAGGAGAAACCAATGATGACTGATAGACACATCACTCCTTACATCTGGCCACCGAACTCCCCAGACTGCAAACTCTTGATTATTATGTGTTGGGCAGAGTTGAGTGAGAGCCAAACAAAACTCTTTGTAACACCAAAGATAAACTGTTATTTATTTTTCTTAATATATATATATATATATATATATATATATATATATATATATATATATATAGATAGATAGATAGATAGATAGATAGATAGATGCACCTCCATTAGGTCACGTAAAAAAGCAGCATATCACGATGAAAAAAGGCTCATAAATCAACGAAAACAAAGTTTTGTCTCAATATGTTATTAATTGAAAGCTAAAGCATTAAATTTATTACTTACAGTAAGTAACATATTCTGGTGTCTTTCAGACAGAAATTATATAGATTGGAATGTCAAATATATGCTCGATTTTTGTTTAATTTTCTTAAAAGCGGCAATTTTCTTAAATTTTAAGAAATTTGTAAACAAACAAAATTCTGATTTTAAACTTCTTCCTAAAATAAATTTATATATTTTTGATACGTTATTTGAGTAAAATTAGAAAATTTAAAGTTAAATTAATCTGATATGAAACAAACAGTACTTACTTATAGCATAAAAATTTGTATCCAAACATTTCTTAACGATGTGTCTGAATTTATCAAAGAAATCGATTGTGAGGAGGTGATGACAGATTAACTATGGATGATCAAAATTGACAATTTTTGCAAAGTAAGTGAACGCGGTTTTTTGTTTTTAACTAGTACTTTTTAAATATTAACATTTTTATTCAGGAATTATGTAATATCTATTTTTTATTTCATACTTTCTTAATTAGATAATAGTTTAAAGTGTTTTATTAATTAGATAATTGTTTAAAATTTTTAAAAGATTATGTCATGTATACATTTCCATACGTAGAAATTATGAACGTTTTTTTCAATAAAAATTTTTTTTAAATTATTTTAAAAGTATTTTGGGTCAAACGACTGTTATGTGCTTTTCAAATTTCGATTCGTAAATTTACTTTTTCATTAACATTATCATTACATTACGTGCTTGAAAGCAATAAAGAATTTAAAACGATTTTTGAAGTGATAATGAAAAAAAATTTAAAAATGGGAAAAATGTAAAAAATACATTATTCATCGAAAAAATTTTATTTCTTCACAAAATAATGTCCTTAATATAACGTATTTACAAAAACAGGTGAAAGCTTTTCTAATTAATTGATGTCATACTTTTTTACATTTTTTTTTATAATTCAAAGCAGATTTTCTATGAAACTGGGTACTGTTTTACAAAAAAAAAACTGGTGATTTACTTCCTACAGAGAGTCCTGTTTATAATTAATAATACAAATCCTGCGCGTAAAGATTTAATTTCTCGAAATTTCATGAAAATATGTAAGTGGGTGGAAACATGTTAAAAAAATCTCTTTTTAACAAGATTTCCTAAAACAAAAATTTCAAAAATAATTTCATTCATTTCTGAATAAGTCCTGAAAGTTTCATTAAAATCCGACAATTATTTGATTTTTGCAAGAATTTCCTAATTGACGATTATTTTCCTCGGGAAAAGTGCAAAATAAAACAAACCTTTTTATTCTCTTATTGCGCTGTCGTAAAAAAAAAAAATTAACCAAAATTTTCTACGTGCTAGAAAGGAGTAAAAAATTTCAAAAAATAATCAAGTCTTTAGTCTTTCGTCTTCATAACAACATAAACATATTGAGACAAAACTTAGTTTTCATTGATTTATGGACCTTTTTTCATCGTGATATGCTGCTATTTTACGTGACCAATGGAGGTAACTATATATATATATATATATATATATATATATATATATATATATATATATATGTATGTGTATATATATATATATATATATATATGTGTGTGTGTGTGTGTGTGTATATATGTGTATATATATATATATATATGAACATGAGGCGATGGGTAAATTGTCGCAATTTTATAATTTTAATTTCGAGTATGCGCGTTGTTTGTTTTTGATTTTGTCGGTTGCACATTATAGTAGGGTCATTTGGACAACATATTTGACAAAAAGAAAACAATGACGCAATTTAGTCTGCCAGAAATTTGAAAACGGCATGCTGTACTGTTTGGCATTCGCGCCGGAAGCTCCAATACGAACATTTCAGAATGTTTGGGACTCAATCTAATGAAGGACAGTGCACCGGATCCGGAAAGAAGTGGATAATTCTAATGGTCATTACGAAGGTGTTTGGAGTGATCACTAGTGATGGCGACGTTATGCCTCCATTCATCGCCACAGAGGAGGCCAACATGGAGGCCTACATCAAGTGCCTTGAGGAGGCAGTGATGCCCTGGGTCAAGAGGGTGGCTGCTGGAAGACCTTATGCCTATAACAGGACTCTGTACTTTGCCACAAAAGCAGGAAAATCCAGTCATGCCTCTAAAACAATTTCTGCGACCGCATGACCTCTTATATCTGGCCACCTAACTCCCCATTGATTTTCATTTGTGAGGCGCAGTTGAGCGACAGACCAACAAAGCTCCTTGTAACATCAAAGATGAACTGAAGGCAAGGATTATGGCAGTATTCACCAACTTAAACAGAGAGACCGTCCAGAAGAGTGGCGGGAGATTCCGAAGTCGTCTGGACGCCATGATTGAAGCCAATGGCTGTTATATTGAAGAAATTTACTTTCTTATATTTCAAGATATTTTTGAGTAATTTTGGTAAATATGTCTGTTAAAATGAGATGTCAGTGTTATTTTCATTTTTGCGTAACTTAGATGAATATATATATATATATATATATATATATATATATATATATAGTTAGTTAGTTAGTTAATTATGTTATTTGGAATTCCGTATGGATAATTCCAAGGGGGATGTAATCCAGAGAGTAAAAACAGCACATATGAACTATAAAAAAAAGACAACTTTAAGTGTTCATGGGATTAAAATTTATTTCCTTTGGACCAGGATTTTGTTCCTAATTCTTTAGATCTCCAAGAAGAAAATTAAAATCGAGATCTGAAGAATTAGCCCCAAAATCCCTGCCCTAAGGAATAAATTATAATCCCATGAACCTAAAAAGTTTTTTTCTTCATATATATATATATATATATATATATATATATATATATATATATGTGTATGTGTGTGTGTGTGTGTGTGGTAGTACTCGGTTTGAAAAATGATGATAGTTCGACTTGTAGTAGGATAAATCAGTAGCCAAGGAAAAATGAGCTATGAAAAAAGAAAGAAGCAAGAACATCAAACTAAGGCGAAAACAATCGTCCAGATTTCAAGCTCAAAGCCCAAAGAATAGAAAATCCAAAACGAGAAAAAATATACAGGTAGTAATCTGTCGATATAATCCAGGCGATTCCTATTAACACAACATAGAATTTGAAATATGTTAAAACTGACTCACAAAAGAGGGCTCAATGTTTATTTTCATTAAACGGAGCAAATTTTCGTAACAATTGCAATTACGATAGTAAATGATCATTTTCATCAACGAAATTTAATTTCAATTTTAAAGTTAAAATTCGTAGGTGAAAATGGTCATTTACTAAAGATATCGTAATTCCAATTGTAAAGTATATATATATATGTAAGCAAATATATGGATATAGATCCGACAGTATGAAAAAAAATATATACGGAAAAAACAAAACAAAAAACCTTATATACAATTATGCTGTTTTAATGTTAATATGTATTGATAATGTTATATTTATGAATATGTCCTGAAGATGGTTTATTAGACCGAAACGTCAGCCGTTGACATATTAACATTAAAACAGCATAATTGTATACAATGGTTTTTGATTTGTTTTTCCGTACATATTTTTTTTTCATATATATATATATATATATATATATATATATATAAATATAGATAAAACTAGACTCGTTTCGAAAAACCCTCGAATTTTTGATTTGCTAATCAAATCAATCTCGAGGAAAAAAGGTTTTAAAAAAGAAAGAGCTACAAACATGGACTTCTGCCGACAAAAAAATCGCACAGATGCAGGTCTGAAGCCCAAAGAAAAAACCCGATACGAGTAACAACTA